AAGCTGGTAAGATGATTGCTATTGCCAGTAGTAACCAATGTATCATCCAATATGTTCCCGAGCTGGAGTTGGTCTCCATTCTTCTTCTTCCTCCTTGAATAGACATGTCATTCCTCTTCCAAAGAATCAGTTTGATGGGGTGGTAGAGCTGAAGCAGAAGGAATACCAACCGTAGAACCCACAATAAATTCCAGTATATGTGAAGTATGAGTTGCCTCTACACCGAATTCTTCCTGAAGAAGTGAAGCCACGAGACTCTCCTGATTATCAGTCTGAACACTATCATTTGTAGGTAATAGTCCATCAGTATTGTTTTCTATAGGGTTTGAAGGTGCCAACATCACATCACTCGTAGTAACAGTAACAGCAGTGTCATGGGGGGTCCTCAAGGGCAATAGACACCTCCTCTCTGGTAGTATCCTCCCCAGGTGGAACTAAAATGTTCAGAGTAGTGTGGTTAGACCCATCCTTATTCACTTGAACTTTAGATTTCAAATTTGGATGAAACTTGTGGCATTTATCAAGGACATGACCAAACATCTTATAGTGGGTACAATATGGGGTTCTGTGTTCCATGATGATTTGTTGTCAATAACCATTATGGGTTGTGCCCAGCCAAACTTCAGTAACATCGGGTAAAGTAATATCCCTTTCCACAAATATTTTGGTCACCAAGAGTCTGTTTAGGTTGAAAGTAGACAGATCTAACTTCAAAGAGTCTCAAAGGATGGCCCCAATAGAGTAGAGAAACTGATAGTGAAAAAAATATAGCTTGAGGTCACGTAAACTAAATCATACCGGTACAGCGAGAGTTTCATGATTTGAGTCGAAATCAGGAGACAATTTGAGTAACTTCATTGACTTGTCTGCAATATTAAGATATTTCTTGGAGAAAATTCTGGTGTAGTCTTCAACCGCTGTTAATTGGATAACACGCTCCCATTCATGAGTCCTACTTTTCACTTGCCTACTATCTTAAAATTATCAACATTCTTTCTGATAACATTCATAGGAGGGTGTCCCCACTGAAATTTTCCAATAAGAGCAAACTTAAATTTTTCCGCCAAGGTAGAAATTTTTGATTCAGAGAAAAAGATTGTTGTTTTTCCACTTTTCCCACTTCTCCACTTAACAAAAGGACAATCATCTGTACCCTCGCGATATTTCTTATAGCTTGAGAGGAAAACCACTGCGGACTCCACCTGAGGGTTACCCATCACGTGAGCAAAAGAGACTTTTTCCGGCTCAACTAAAGAAGAAGGAAGCGCCATCAGAGCAAGTAGATCTGTCGGCGTTAAGCTACGGCGATGTTGCTGACAGAAAGAGTCGGCAAATAGGAGCTGTCGGGCGCAGCGCAGTCGCAACAGAAGAAATCTGTGTCGAAAACCTAACTGTCGGGCGAGAGATGAAACTGCGACGAGAGACGGGACGCAGTCGCAGCAGAAAAAAGCAGTGTCGGGCGTAGCAGTCAGGCGCAGGCGCAGTCGCAGTCGCAGCAACTGCGACGAGAAACGACAACATCGAAGTCAGGACCCAGAAAGCACAGGAGACAACGCTGACGCTGACGCAAACGCCAGACAGCGGAGCGAGAGTCAACGATGCTAGTTCCTCACCTTCGAGCAGTAGAATCAATTGCGACTGAAATCGCCATCGGAAGCCCTAACATAGCATGACAACTTGTCCACACAAAAAACCACAAAAGGTTTCAAAACTAGAAAAAACAGAAAATACATTATGTACTAAAATAATAAGCCTAACAGTGCCAAAATACATAGTATCAGGTGGCTAGAGAGCGACCCAATTTGGTCTTGCCTCTGCCTCTAGTTTTAGGGAATGAGCAAGCTATTAAGTTGGTAGGATGATTGACATTGTCAGTAGTAACCAATGTATCATCCAATATGTTCCCAAGTTGGAGTCGGTCTCCATTATTCTTCCTCATCCTGGAATAGACCTGTCATTCCTCATCCGAAGAATCAGTTTGATCGGGTGGTAGAGCTGAAGCAGAAGGAATGTCAACCGTAGTACCCACAATAGGTTCTAGTATATGTGAAGTATGAGTTGCCTCTACACCGAATACTTCCTGAAATATATATAAATATATATTTTTTGGGGAATACGTTTGTAATCCATGTGAGTGAGCTCTTTGTACCCACTCACTAAAACATTTATATCCTCTCTTTTTTTATCAATGAATTTTGCCTTTAATATATATATATATATATGTCTGTGTGTGTGTGTCATAACATCTACTTTCAAAATTTTTAAATATAGATGGGATAGTAAATTTAATTTTTAAAATATTTATCCCATCACTTCACATTTTTAGGTTGTTTGACTACATTTAGGATTTAGTAAATTTTGTAAATCCAAATTTAGTAAATTCTAGCATGGTTAAATCATGAAATTTATTTAGTATGATCGAGGTTAAATCTAGTTAAATACCAAAGAACTATATGGCTACTTATTTTAGGATTTAAGGTAGTTATGCTAAATAAGATTTTAATATTATTTAATGAAGGTCAAAATAGTGTAAATAATTCTTTAGTTATTGATTTAATAAATTATTAAGATGATTTAATATAACAACCCCTACGTGGTCATCAAACCATAGATAATGCATTTTAATAATTACAATTTTTTATTAATTAATATTAATTATGAGGACATTTAATTTTTAATTAATAGATCAATGTCTAATAAATTATAATGTAACATAATATTTAGTTATCAATTACTAGTTTATTAAATTGATTACATGTAATAATTTTAATTAATATGTAACCCTCATTATTTTCCCTTTTCCTCCCCACCTAAAATTGTATTAAATAATATCTCAATTAATCATTTATTAATTAACATAAGTATAAAAATTTTATTTAATCAAATTAAATTACAAATAATATTAATATAATTAAATTAATTAATTTTATTAATCAACAATTATTATCAAGATTTAATTCAAAAATTATAATCTTACCCATAAACCAAAAATATTTTACATTACACTTGTCTTCCACCCTCGCCACCTCTTTACATGAAACACTACTTGAAAAAGAATAGTGAAAGTCTCCACGAGTTCTTTGGCGAAGACATTTGAAACCCTCATCTTTCTCATCCTTCACTTCTACTCAAAACCCTAGACGAAAGAAAAGAAGCAAAAAAAAGTTGTGAAAGGTTTGCAGCGAATATCGACAGGCATGAATTGTTTTCCTAGCCTTTCTCCCCCCAACATGTGCTTCAGTTTCTCTACATCATTTAAATATGCCTACCAACTAGATTTACCAAAACTGGGATTTAAGTTAAAAGGAAGGAGAAATAGGATTCAAAATTATGTACAATATATAGTTTGTCATTTTTGCAGTTTGGCAGAAGTTAGGATTAATCTTACACAAATCCTTCTAAAACCCCACCCTGCTAACAAACAGCGCCTTAGGGTTTGCACGCACGGATCAGCTTAGCAAACTAACCTTATGCAGCATCAGCATTGATGCTCTAATAAAGACTTAGGGGCTATTTGATTGCAGGTAGGATTTAGTTTAAAAAGAATGTAGTAAATCTTATAAATCCGGATATATCAAATTCTGAGGTATTTAAATCCTCAAAATTATTTGATATATTAGTAAGTAAATCCTGATGAATCCTGAGAAACTATTTGGTAGCCTTCAAATAATTTAACAGGATTGATCATAATTTATTAAACATCAAAAGATAAAGATTAAATAAAAATACAAATAAATATCCAATGCCTCAAAGTGTATAAAAAAGAGCATATACATTAATTAATAATTAGCTATATAAATTATTAATTATTTTTTTATGTAAACTATTTACTTATTAATCAATAATTTAATATTAATCAGTTATTATTTACATAAATTAAGAATTATTTAAAATTTTATTAAATGATTTAAATTTTAAATATATTTTTATTCATTAATTAAAAAATAAATAATTTCATTTAAATTATTTAATTATAATTAATTTGATAATATATAAACTGATATCTAATTATTACTCAATCAAAATTAACATAATTAATTTAATAAAAATAAATTAAACCAGATACTTATCTCCTCATTCCCCTCTCTGCTCAAAGCCGTCACCTACATCCTCCCCCGCCCAATTTCGATCAAACTTTGCCCAAAACCCTCACTTATGTCATTCCCCCTCCGGTTTCGCCCAAAACCATCACCTTCGTGAACGATTCTACGCGATAAAGTCGCCATTAGAGCTAGTTGGAAAGGCAACGATGAGATTGCAGATCACAGAGACCACCGAAACTCCTATCTCTCATCCTTCCGTTACCAGAAACCTTGAAGAAGGTAAACTTGTTCGTGCCATCCTTCCTCTTCGCTAATCCCAGGTTTACTAAATCCTCCAATTAAAAAAATTAGTAAATCTCGGATTTATTGTGAATCAGCGTGATTTTGGGATTTTCGGGAGCTCGGGATTTAAGGAGGCGTTTTTTGCCGTTTGGCAGGATTTAGCTTCAATCCTGCAGAGATCCTGCTTAAAACCAGCTACCATACAGCCCCTTGAGAACAGAAAGGAAAGCAAAATATATCCACCATGAATTTGAATAAACTTAGAAGATTTTATGCCATATTTCTATACTATTCCTCTGCAGTGCTTAATTTCTGCGATTTATAATTTTGGAATATTAATAGTTCACAGACAAGTTACAATTAAAAGCAAGGTAACCAAAACTAATTTGCCTATGAGCAGCAAAGACATTTGAATAACTAAAAAATGACAATTTCAACGCACAAGAAACCTACAGAAATCCCATGAACGATCGAGTTTTCTATACCAAAACGGAGAGGTAAAATATAAACAAAATGAATAAAAAATCTGATACAAACAACTGAGTCTCCACTAAAATAAAACTATCATTTAATGAAAATAATTTAAATCATTAAAAGGCTTGGAGAAATACAGATTGAATATTTAGTAATATAAAAGAGCTGAAGAGATGATCCAAAAGAGTAAAGGATCCATACCAATAAATGGGTTCGAAGGCTGATAGCTCCGTACACTCATTAATATTTGGGCATGAAGGATGGTGCGCCAGAGCATGAACCAAATATACAAGAATACTCTCTGGATACATGACTGAGGAACTCACATCATTTTGCATGGAGATTTGCCGTAGTTTAAGTTGCTGGCAAATTTGAACAACCTCCAGTAGAAAGTGTTTGGCCTAGGAAATAAGAAATGGCAATAGACTAAATCACAAGTAGATAAATAAGACTACTAGATCAATCCAGTAAGGTTATTTAAAAATAAAATATCAAATAGTCCGGTGACTATTTACGTGGGGCTATTTTAGTCCCAGAGTCTATAAAAATACCAAATTAGTCCCCACTGTTTTTTTAGAATGGGCTGAAATAATCCCCAAGGAGGACTATTTTAGCCTCCATTTAAAAATTCAAGAGACTAAATTGGCACTTCCCCCACTCAGGGACCATTTTGACATTTTTCCTATAAGAAAATTCACCTCCTTATACTCTGGAGACTGATACTGGTTTATGTTTAACAAGAAAGCACAGGCATACTTTGCATCCAACAAACGATCCTTGATGTACTGATGCACTTTGTTGATGAATATTGTCCTAAACTGGGGATAGACATCCTGCAATTCATGTTATTTCAATATATAAATTTCTTAAGAAATTTAAAACTACAACACTCATTACAGCTCACTGCTGCCAATGTATTGTGAATGTACTAATATATAAAGTTTTAAAAGATTTAAAACTACAATGCTCATTACAGCTTATTAACAACCAATGTATTGTGAATGTACCTCTGAAATCCTCAAGGTTATATAGAAAACGTCAAGAGGTATCATATGGTCCCACAGCCTTGACAATCGAAGGACAGATTTTGCTGCAATAAGCCTCATATGCGCCTTATCAACAGCACTAACAAAAATAATTCAATTTCAACAAAATTAATCATTTAAAATGACAAAATAAATCACAAAACGCAGATTTTAATGGTCTCCTTCAGTACCTTGATTCCACATCTTTTGAGATATCTCCATAAGCTAGAACATTTCTGAGTAATGCCATAAGCTTATCAATCCCAGTTCGTGAAGAAGCGTCTTTGACAGGTAAATAACTCTTCACCAAAGTTTTGATGCCAAGCATCTGCAACAAATAAATTTAAGGGCAAAAGGAACTGAATCATCAAATTCATGTCACAAATAACAGGCCAAAGAATTTGGAATAATAATAGAGTAGCAAATGTTCATTCAAACCTTTAATGAACAGAATTCAGATCTTTCATTCCAATCACTATTATCTGAAGTAGCAGGCATATCCTGATGACGAGGCCACAAAAAATACACAAATAAAAAAATAGCCTCAGATAAATCAAAATTTAGACAAGTAGAACCTACATTCTTACGCTTCAAGACTTTCTTAGATATAAACTCTACAATTTCATTTTCTCTAGTTTCAAAGACTGGCATTGCAATTTGAGCTATACACCCAAGAGATTGCAATATGGATGGAAGATGAGTTTTCTTCTCCAACATATCTACAAGCCTCTGTAAACCATGTAAAACTGTCAGCTAACATTCCTCCTCCATAATAAAAGGCTGCATGAAACATCTATTCAAGCAGAACAAAAAAGTCTCCAAAACCTTGTATAAAACAGAAAGTGATTTGAGACCATCGTCTTTGGTTATTGCTGCTATGGCGTGTACAGAGTATTTAGCTTGCTTGCGAGTACCCTCTAGACATAGCCGTTCTAATACTAGATCAACAGGGCTGCAATTAAATTTTAAAAAAGGTTGATAGAGTAAATAAAAATCAATAATGATTCGTACATTTTAAATAACTTCAATACAGATTAATGATTTCACCCTGATGTCATTGCCAACTGTTCTCGAATAGTCCCTCCTGCTTTTGCTAAAACTCGAGTTATTCCTTCTTTAATTATGTCATTGTCTTCCTTGAGCAGATGCAAAAGATCATCTTCGCACCCTATAAAAAGGTGGGGAGAAAAAGATGCTATTACCTGCAAAGTTCCAAATTAGACAACTTCGACCAGCAATCTTATAAAACAATGAACAGAAAAACAACGTGAGAAGTATTATACATGGTAGGAGAATAATCTAAAATATGATATTACTTCAATTAACTGAAACTACAATGAAAATGATTCAGATTCAAATCATACTTAAGCTAAGGAAAATTTAATTCTAGTAAGCGTACAAAAAATCTGTCAGATTATATATTGTGGGCCCCTTGAGTGCCACAAGTAACAGCAATAATTAATATTTCCTAATGCAATAGTACAGAAATTAAAGCATTTAACAGACATAATGTCACTTAGAGTGGTATCACATTCAGAGGTGAGGCAATAAATTTCTCTTATGAGTCCTACCAGTTAAAAGAACAGCATCTCAAAAAATATTAATACGCCAATCCAGTAAAAATGCAGGCTACAGAAACTTCAAGAAACAATCTAAGGAATTTATGGAACCTGTACCTAAATTGCAATAGACCAAGAAAATTTAAGATAGAAAAGAAAAAAAAAAGCTGCAAAAGCTTTTGTCTAATGAGTACATGCGGCATCAATTTCAGATACAAAAATAGCAATTGTAGCATGCAATAACATGGAAAGTAAGCAAGACTGCCTTTGTGTCGTGATAAATAAAATAACAATTTTAGAAAGATAGAAGGAGCAGATTATAAATAAAGAGTGAAACAATGTTCCAATAACATCAAACTGGATCATTTTTACAATAAATCAGGGCCTTGCCTTACATCTTTCACTTTCGTGCCTTTTTCATGGAATTAAGAGAGAATTATCAATATTTACAAGTAATATTTACAAGACAAGAAAACAATATCAAGAAGATGAGCATACATCACAATATCACAAGAGACAGATAAGCACAACAGTAATTCACATGTAAGGGGAAAAAATACAGCCTGCTGTTTAGCATTTGATGAAAACAAATATGTATTCAAATTTAAAAATTAAATCTTACCGTAAGTAGGTCCATGCATGACAAAATGAATTTTGCATCGCCAGTAGATTTTTGCTCAGCAGATTCTAAAATAATTTCCTTAACAAGCTCCTTGTTAAACAATAAGTATGAGCACTTCACTGAAAGCATATCGATAAATTCATAAAGTGAATGTTTTTCTCCAAGGATCTTAAGCAACTCACCCTGCATCTCAAAATATTTTAAGAAAAAGTTCAGGTCATCTTCAATAAGACATTCACAGTTACAGTAAATAAAAAACAAAATTCAAAATATATAGTAGTGTAACATCCATTTCACTAAAACTTGCAGCTCACAACTTTCCATCAGAAAGAATGAAGCATAGCATGGTAGCCAATCATTACACTTGAGGTTTTTTCAAAAACGCTAAAGATGAACTATAGTATATACCCGGCAAGACCACGCTTGACAGAAACCAGTGCCTGGATCAAGCAAGATCATCATTAATTTCCAGATATTTGGGTCTTTTAACTGATTAAGCATCTGGAAACCTTCTTCAGCTTTAGCAGCATCATGAAACATGCGAGACATCATGCGGAATAAACCATAATATTTCTTTTGGATCTCTGGGAAATCATCCTGTTTTCAAAGCATAATTGCTTTTATAATGAAAAAAATGTCAATCTTTAATAAAATAAGCCCTCACAAACCTGTTGTGTCTGTCGAAGAGTCAAATATTTCTGAAATTCTTGCTGTAACCTGCAATCCAACAGGAAATCACCTGAAACCCCGTGGAAAGCTATCAAATACTAGTGGTATAAACTTTAAAAACTACAATGATGCATTATCACCAACCTTTGCTTCTGTAGCAGAATCTGCTCTAGTGCCTTCAGTTCTACTTTATCAAATGTTGAAAACACTTTAATCCAATGTTTTACCCTATCTCTAATAGTCAAATCATGTGAGAACAATGAACCGCACAAAATGAATTCAATTGTCTCTGATCTGCAATGCACAAATTTAATTTACAAAGATACCAATCACAAACAAACAATTCCAGAGGTAGATCAATCAGAATTACAACAAAAACAAGGAAAATTCATATTACTTCATTACGTACTAAAGTCTATTCATTGGATAAAATTAAGGGAAAAAAAAGCTAAATTACACAATGATTAAGAAATTAGCCACCAGTGTAAGCAATGGTGGAGCATAAACCTGTAAAGTAATATCATTTATCAATTAAGTCTGATAGACTGCACAAATAACACACATATAATAGCAACAAAAAGCATCAACAATTTATTACGATAAGAGAAATCAAGGTATAATCAATATGCTATTTCAAAATTAGCAATCAAATAACATAAAACTGCCACGAAAGATGGAAGCTATCAAAAGTAAATACTGCAAATAAACTATATGTTTCTTACCTAAAATCTTTGTCATATAAGCACCGTAACACTCTGCCAGGTATCCATTCAGAATCATCATCATTTAACAAATCATTTTTACGCTTCAAACAATAACATCTGTAAAGCTCAGCCAATCTCTCCATGGTGTAAAGTTTGACAGATAGCTAACCAAATACAAAAATTAAAATTAGCTAGAAATTTTAAAAAAGGAGCATTTACATACATATCACACAATTCTTATGTATTTAAACATTTCACATGTAATCTTTCATAATTACACATATGGAACTCAAATCTTTAATATCACATCAAATTTAGCACTTCTACCCATTTTTAAAAGTGAAATACACATTTTCATGCATAGGTTTAAAGCACCAAAGTATGTAAATATAAAAGTTTAGGTGTAAGTTATTGATGCAGGGCAGGATGCACTCCCACAATCGTCACATGACGCGAGAGTCCCCCTACAGGGAGTGGCTCTCATTTTCATACCTTGACTGAACCGGTGCAAGTTTTCTTTGCGTTGTGGAGTCGGCTAGTCCTCGTGGTCTACTCCTCGTTATCCTATTATTATATATTTGTGTTTCTAATGTTCTAGGGTTAGTTTTTGCATGAGTTTCTGTCGACACAGCCACCAACATCTCTTTTCTCCCTTCGAGGGCTATATATGAGGGTTCGAGAGGTGTTTTGGTTGTATCTCGCTCATAAAGTGGTGATTATTATCCCTCTCGCCTTCCACATCCTCCTAACGTCGCTCCCGACCACCCTCAATTGCTGCAGCCGCCCCCAAACAGCCACACATAGTTGTTTTCCCTGTAGTTTTCCAATTCCAACCACCTATCCTCACTATCGGCACACCGGACAGCTGACCTCTTGTTGTTCTGCAGTCCCGTGGTCCCCTCCATTTCTACATTCCCCCTCGCTGCAGACGCTCGAAAACAATTGTTCCCAATTGTTTTCTGATGTTCCAGCAGCCCAGCAATCCATTTCTCTCGTTCCAGCTTGTTGTCATTGTTGTAACTCCTCCCCTTTGCTACCGCCATCCTCCTCCCTTCCTGCCACAACCCAGGACAACCCTTACCCAACCATTTCCCTGTTGTCCAGTCCCCTCTTTCTTGCTACCACTACCCAGGGCAGCTGTCGTTTCCCCGTCTTTTTTTTACCATCTCAAGTGATTCTTTGTAGCCTAACTAATTCATTATTCGATTGCTATCTGATTAATATTTTGTTCTTGGCCACGTGGATCGGATACCAACACATCTTTGTTGTTGCTATGCCATTCAACCCTCTACCCACTCTTTGCTACATCTCCAGACAACCAAGCCCTAACCAATTACCACCAACACCCCGAGATCCATCCTAGATGGTTGTGTTGTGTCTATTGTTATTTATATTTCCATTAGTGAGCTTGTATTTTCCATTTTTGAATTCAAGAAATAATATTTGATTTTACTATTGTTGTTTGGATTAACTCCAACATCAGATGCATTAAATAAGAATTGTGTGCTAAGTGTGTAAATTTGTCCCCTTCAAGAAAATAGAAGACCAAAAATGAATGACAATGAAGGAAGAAGACAAACAGATTTATCACGAAGGCGCTCTGCAACTGTTTTAACTGTGTCTACTGGAATAACTTTGACAGAATGGCACGCCAGATCACAAATTGCGGCAACAACATGCTTGCGAACATTTTCATCATAATCTAATAGCCGATCCGATAGAGCCTCTAAAGAACAACCATTATATACATGGTCAAAAATTATATACAGAATTTATGAATCAGCATAAAAAAAGAACAAATTTCTGTGCAATTTCTTACTAATTATCAGAGGTGCTTCAGCTCTGGAAGTGTTCAACATCAAGTAATTCTTCAAGTGTCCAATTACAGAAACACGAATATCCGCAACCCTATCAGCCAATCTCTTCACAAACTCAGAGAAAAGTGGCTTAAAAGACTCAGAAATAGGAATTCCTGATAAAGCAAATAGGTCTCCAAGTAGTTGGACTGCCTTCTGTCGAATCTCTAACTTATCTGTCTACAGATTTAAAATAAATCAAAATTATACAATGTTTAGGGATGTTACGAGCTACAACGAAGTTAAGTGCCAAAGGTTTCATTAGTTAAAAACACCATTATTATTAAATGAGCATATGAATGCTAGAGAGAAAAGTGTAAAAATGGTCCCGAATATTTTTATGGGGTCATTTAGTCCTAGTCTATAAAAGTGTCAATTTGGTCCCAGACTTTTTTAAAAGGGGAAAAAATAATTATTCCTAGGGACTATTTCAGCCCATATTAAAAGTCTGAGGACTAATTTGGCACTTGTATAGACTCTAGGATTAAAAGAAACCCATGGCACTTTACTCGAATGTTAGACATATGGAATAAAGCATTTACCAACAATTCTGCAGTCATAAATGAAATTATTCCAAAAAGAATTTGCGGAACACACTGATATAAATCATATATGACTTCATGATAATCAAGTGAACTCTCCAAGTAGCTGCTGTCTCCAGACATTGATGATACAAGAAAATGCCGAATGGAAGGCTCAAGCTTTCCAGCACAATGCTCTATCACATTCATAGCAAGCTTCCTAGCTGCCATTGTAAATCCCTATTACCACAAAAAGATTACTTAATTAATAAAGAACCAAAAAACATTGCTATCCAAATTAGAGTTCAGTTTAACATGTAAATGTTAAAATTCAAATAGATTAAAAGAAATAATCATAAAGAACTCACATTCCTTTTACGACCTAAAGGAGACAATATGGTAACTAACAGATTCTCTTGTATGTCCTCACTTTCCTCAATTATAAGGACCATGATTGTTTGCATTGAAGCACGAACGTTATTTGGATGATCGTCACTGCATACAACAAGTCAAAAGGTCATAGATAATCTACAAATTTACAACAAATACTTATCTTAGGTGTACATTTGCAAGTCAATGAATTAACATGAGAACTGCAAAAATCAACATAAATATAAAAAAAAATTCACTAGTACACCACAAAATGAACTAATTAGAAAGAATTTAGGTAGACTTGAAAATCAATTATTGGTGGCCAAAGCATATTTGTCAATAGCGAAAGAAAATGAATCATGATGTAATGCAAAAGGCAATGAAATTAAGCAAACCGTCATGCAAAGAGCAACGAGACGGACCATCTATGCGTTTAGTGATGCAAGTCACAAGTGGAAATTATGGAGGACGATGAGATCTATGAAGTAAAAATGTGGCGAGCTTGAGCGAGCATAGGCCCGGTTCATGTTTGGCTCGTTAAAAGATACTACTGTTCGTGTTCGACTCATTTATATATCGAGCTAAATAAATTTGTTTGTATTTGGCTTGTTTGCTTAGCGAGCCATGAGCTGTTGGCAAACAACAAGTCATTTTGATAGCCCTGATCACGCAGTGGCAGGATATTAAGGGTTTGGGCAAGATTTAAATCTTATTACTTATAATAAAATATTCATTTAAATAGAATTTAATATAGATTTATTCTATTTTTAATTAATAATTTTAATTGATTATAAATCTTTGTAGCCTTGTAGTCCATTAAATTATTTTAAGAAATGCTCATAATATATATATATATATATATATATAGGCGAAAATGAGTTTCCCTCAAGCTACAGTTTCGGCGACGACTGAATTGGTGCAGAGAGACGAAGCTTATGTTCAAGCATAGAGGAACGAATGTCGGCGTATGCATGAGGGATTGCAGCTGACTCGATCACGAGCTAACAGGGATAGCAGCGGCGGAACTGCAGCATGACCGCGATCTAGTCGCGAGCTTTCTTCGCCCGTGTTGATTGATCCTTGCACAGTGTCGCAATCCTTCATGTGTCGTGATCCTCCCGCACCGCTTGATCCCAGCTCTGCAGATCGAGCAACAAAGAAGGCGTTAGGCTCTATATAACAACAACACGCACGAGAGCTCCGGTAGAAGTCACGACTCAAACCTAGTAACTACTCATTGCTCGACTATCAGCTATATGACTTCTGTTCCTCCTCAAACACCAACAGATTCAGCTTTAAATCTTAGGAAGGCTTCTTATGTTGATATGGTTGGTTCTGTGGGATCAATGGATCATGTTTTCCCTTAGGTTTATCATGAATCATTTGAAGGTCAGAGGGGCTATAACCTCATCAAAATGCGAGTAGAAAGAGTGGCAAACTAGCTCTAATTTTCTCTGATGTTCAAGTTTCCAGCCTGGTTGATAAGTGCAAATTTACCCTCATTGGAAAGTTCTAATTGGGACATCCTAAAATGGAAATCGATCGAAAGACTTTTGAAGATCTCAAACTATTGTGACATTGAATGGTTGGTCTCTTTGATAGGAGACATTTGATAATACAATTATCCAAAGTAGATGACTATGCTAAAATATTTTCCAAGAAGTATATGACGATTGATGGGAAATTTATGAAATTGCTCAAGTGGTCTCCTGAATTCGATCCTAGCCAAGAACCCCCTATAATTCCAATCTGATTTAAACTACCTGGGCTAAAATTGCATTACTTTAATCACCAAGTCCTCTATTCTATTGGAGCTGCATTAGAGAGACCTATGAAATTAGACATACCCACCTTCAACCTATCTAGGCCTTCGGTTGCAAGGATTCTTGTTGAGAGGGATATCATCCTCCCTGATGTGGAAGAAATATGGCTTGATACTGCACATAATGGGTACTGGCAGCCTATTGTCAGTCGCAGAACAAAGTCGCTATTATTGTAATTATTGTAAACTAATTGGGCACATACCTGCCAAATGTTTCAGACTTCATCCACATTTGAGATCCAACCTTATTGTGCATTTGGATTCTACAGTTCCTAATAACATCACCCAAGTGGAGGAAAACATAGCAGAAACCGAAGATCTTTAAAAAATGTTGAATGAAAATTTGTCTCCTCGGGCTATTCCTCATTAACCAACTCTGCAGCTACTTCCCACTGCTGTTGAGACAATTCTTCCTCGGATCATAAATACTACAAATTTGGTTGTAGCTGATGATAGCTGATGTTTTTTGGAACCACCTATTGCGAGAGAAGAGGGTAATCAAGCCCTGAAGGAGCGCCATGATCAAAGTATGCTGCAGACTGAGACTGATCGGCAATTTACGGATCAACATACCCCCCAAGGTGAGCTCTCCATCAAAAATTCACAAATAGATCAGATGGAACAAACACTGACAAATGAATGGCAAGCTTACAAATCTAGAAAGAAGAAAAAAAGAATGTTATAACTCAAGAATTTTCAGGATGACTGTTTGATAGTTTTGGGCGGAAGCCCTCATCTCAGTTTGGTGTTTGACTCTCCCTAGTACCAGGGGGAGGGGAAGTGGTAAATCCACCCACCATGAATAAGAGTATTTCAGTTTTTTTTTTGGGTATACGAGCATTTTAAGTCTTTTTTTGAGTGAGTTATATTCCTTGTGAGTCGCTATTTGTACCTACTCACTAAAACCTTTGTATTTTGTCTTTTACATCGATGAATTTGCTTTTATTATATATATATATATATATATATATATATTTAATTATTTCGAGTCAAAACGAGCCGAACACGAACAAACAGAACTTTGATTGTGTTCATTTCATCTATATATTGAGCGCAAGAAAATCGCTGGTGTTCGGCTCATTTGCTTATCCAGCGAATCGAACACAAGCTACTTAACGAATCGAACACGAGTTGTTTGCGAATAACAAACAATTTTAAAAGCCTACTTAGAGTGACTTGCTTTAGGATTGGATGTTCTTTAACTCAAAGCATTCATGTTCTTTAAATTGGTACTTCGTTCCAATAAACAAAAACAGAACTTCCTTATTGTAGTATAAATGTTTTTTATGGTTTTATGCCTTATTTCTCTTATATTGATATTTCTTCAATATTTATATGTATGAGCAGTCCATCATAGCGCCAAGGTATATACTTTCTTTAGGGGGCTCTGCTCGTCATTAAGAAGTATGAGAAAAAAGATATTTTCTGCTACTAAAAAGATATTCAGTCTATTTGGTGATAACATTAGAGCTTTGCTGGTTTATGAGCATGTCATAGTAGAATCATACCATGTAAAAAATCAATGATTTTATATAATTCGGTATGAAAAATCTGTAAGTTTTCTGAGCAGCTTTTCTTTTTCTTTCTCAAATTTTTCCAAAAGCTATTCTTCGCTTAACACAATTTCGAAAATGATCAGTGGAGAATCAATTCTTAATTTCCCTTGATTTCAGTTTTGGATGCTTCAATGCCATGTAACATCAGCATTAAGCAAAGCTCAACACAGACATTTTACAAATCGAAAGTTCAGCCCTTCTTGTAGAGATGCTCACAATGCCAATTCCCTCCCTATTGCAGCATACCATTTTTATAACCACTTCAGCCTTAAGCTATCACCACAGTAACGCTTAACAATAGTAAACAGAGAAAATGTAGCAAATCCATAAAAGATGGGCCAAGAAGTGTTTAGCTCTAACCACTCAAGACAAGTCGAGCACCGGATAACTTTGAGAATAAGTGCGCTTGGAAATTATTAAAATAAAAAAAGCAAGATAAAAGATAAAACAATAACAAGGTTAATTCCTATGCCTTATGATAATTTAAGTTTGTTAAGCGAATACCATAAAAAACCATGATAAATTAAATGAAGATTCAAGAGATATGTGATCCAAACTAAAGAAATACTTTGTTCTAATATGTGATATGGCACTGCGTATCAAAATCAAAAGCACAAAATGAAAAAAATAGTAAATTATGTAAACAAAATAGAGTATTGATATCTATATAAGGAAAGAATAGTTTATTAGTAATTTTTTAACTCTAAAAAAATATATATAATAATAACAAATAAATGAACACAGATCCATGCATCTAAATCAACAACCTTACCTGACCACATTAAAAAAAATTTGGAACATGTCATTTATGAGATCGTAACACTCGAGATCCAGCATCACAACACATGACCTGTATCTTGCAAGTGTCTCTAAGATAATAACTGTCCTCTTAAATGATGGAGTATTAGCATCCTTTAAGCCGCTAAATGTACTTACAATCAAATCAAAAATGTCCTGCAATAAAAGGGCAAAACTTGAGAAATTATTCAAATAAAAACAACCAAAACAATACATGTAATAATATCAAACTAGAGAATTTCTCGGAATATTATGAAGAAATAAATTCCATTGAGAAGAAAATACCCTGAGAACATCATCACTATAAGGTGCTTCAGGAGCAGTTATCCGAGTGATCTCACAAATGCAGGCAGCCACGAGAACTCTGACATCCCTATCTTGGTGCTTCAAAACATCCTCTTTTGCAATAGCATCAACACACGGCTTCATTGCACTCAGCAAAGAAGGTGGTGGCGACTGTTCCAATTCGGAAAGACAGTTTTCCGCTTGCTGCAAAATTAAATTACAAAAACAAATCAATTACTAAAACAAGATTATTGCATGCAATAAAAAATAGTATTTACAGTAAAAGAGGTTCAAGGTACGAAGCAAAAAAGTTGTAACTCCAGTCTACATCACTAGAATTGCAAATTCTATTAGTAACAGTAAAAATTGTTTCCAGAAAATTTTAAGCTTTGATCTTTGAATCAATAAACCAGCTATAAAATTTCAACATTTAAAAGCATTCCTTCAGAAAAGTTTGCATATTACATCAGGCTAAAGTAAGCGTTTGATGTAATATAAGGATATTTCAAATACAAAAGCGAATGCATTTAATCTAGTCCAAGCCAGCAGAATTCTAGTCGGATTCAGAATTTAACATGCTTATGAGAAGAAAGGCAATCAGGATTTTCCACCTATTGGGCTCATCATGCAATGTTCTACCTATTTCTGCTCATTTTTTAAAATCGTTCCAGAAGATCTTCAGAGATATTCGAGTCACATCTTATTCTCTCATCCACAGGTAGCTAAGGCCAACCATACCTCTACCATCTCAAATATGAGATACGTTCCAACAAATAAATAATTTCGCACATCACCATGATTTCATTCTAGCATTTATTATTCTCCAGTGACCATAGAATCAATAATTCAAGTATGAGATCTCCACAATCATGCATGAGAACAGCAGAATTTTCAAGTATGAAATTCTCAACTCCCAAAAATAATATTTTGTATATTTCATACTACAACAAAGCCTTAATCCCAATACGTGGGGTCGGCTACATGAAATACCTAGGCTCGTCAAGCATAAAGCATACCCATTATTTCCTAGTTATTCACTCTGCATTGAGTGGAGAAGCTCCATTATTCCATACATGCCTGCCAAATGAACAACATTCACATTGTTGTGCTTTGTGCATACTTGTATTTTTTTCCATCCTTCCTCTTTTTCTATGAATTGGATTACATGATTCTAAACATTGTTTACATATGCCTTTTTGTGTTCATTTTAACAATTAATCATCCAATGCATCTGTTCTAAACACCTTACCCATTGAGACCTACGAATATTCCCCAAAACATAAATTTTGATGGATCGTGAGGTTCTCAACCAAGAGTGCAAGCTAGTATCAATCATCTGACTCGCCTGCATCATACCACAGCCAACTTTACCTGCAATCACTGCAGACTACTGTTCTCTTACCAGCTGCTCATCCAGCCATTGGCTTATAAAAGCCTCTATCTCTTACAGTATCTGTCACTATTATATAGACAGATAAATAGTTGCGGGAAAGCTTTTAGTCTGTTGTAATGCTTAGTCTACTATTCCTTTAGCCTTCTGTATTACTTTCTTTAGTCTATATTTTATCAACTCCGCATGGCACCAGAGCCATTTGCCTACACTTCAGCCTTCTCATAATGCATATGGATGAACCAACGACATCATCAGCCGGTACCCACCTCAATAATCTCTCCAATCTTCACAAAATGAGTGAAACCTCTATACCACCCTCTCTCAAGTTCTTGATGTCAGACATCAAAAAGAGTGTCAATATTCAGCTTATCAGAGAGGCGGAGACAATTACATCATTCGGAAACTTCGAAGTCCTCAAATTTTCACTGCAAATGAATACTTCCTGACAGGCTCTACTTCCTGTCTTAACCCTCAAATAGTGACAACTGAAGGAAACGACACACCTAAATCTAGAATACACAACTTGGCTCCAGCTAGAACACAATTTGCCCTCTGCTCTCTACTCCACCCATCCATTCCTATATTCTCAACCTCCTGGCTTCCAAGATTCTAAATACCCCAATCACGTTCGTCTACTCCACAAAGCCATTAACGGTCTCAAACAATCACCAAGGCAATGATTCTTTAACTTTTCCATCTATCTCACAAATTACGATTTTCATTTCAGCAAATTCAAACATTCCCTACCAACCTATATGAATGACAACACTAACATCTACATTCTAGTCTATGCTGAAATATTCTCCTCACGGAAATAAGCTTACTACTCTTTCCAACCTCATTACCAAACTCAAACATATTCACCCTGAAAGCACTTGGACCATTCTCATACTTTCTTGGCATTCAGGTTCACTCCAAATCCACTGGTTACTTCCTCAATAAAGCAAGATATGGTCAAGACCTATAACAAAAATCAGGAATGGCCAAGTGCAAACCCTCCCAAACTTCAATTCTAACAAAAATGTCCAATGACTTGGCTCTTGATACTCCACCTATTGACAAATTGTTGGTTCCCTGCAATACCTAACCAGAACTAGACCGTACATTGCCTTCAGTGTAAATTAATTGTGTCAATTCATGCACCAAACAAAAACTAAACACAACCTACTCTTAAAACAATTACTCCGCTACATCAAGAGCATCATTCAATAACGCCTCCCAATCAGCGAAGGGCACCTCATTCTAAAGTCCTACTCGGATGCAGACTGGGCATCCAATACTAGCAGATAACAAATCCACTGCAAGTCATTGCATATTCATGGGCTCAGCCCTTATTTCTTGGTGCGTAAAAAAAACGCATACATTCGCAAGATCCTCCACTAAAGTAGAATATAGAGCACTCTCTTCTACAGCCACCGATATATTATGGCTTAATTGACTTTTCAAGACTTCAATAGTTCCAACAACCCGTTGTTTCATGGTCAAACGAAACACATTGAAATTGACTATCATTCATTTGAAAAAGAATATTCTATCAGGAAATTACAATTCAGCACATCAAAATTCTCTTAGAAAATTACAATTCAGCAGATCAACTCTCAATACCAATCGACAAATATCCAAACCACTGTCCATCACTCAATTCAAGTATCTGCGCTGCAAGTTATCACTCCAACCATTTAACCCTTGACTTGAGAGGAAGTCATAAATGCAAGCTACTATCAATTCTGGCGCTAACCCATTCATGCTCAGCACACTCGCTGTATCATACCAGAGCAGCCTTTATCCGCAATCACTACAGATTGCTGATCTCCAACCACCTGCTAATCCAGCCATGGCTTTTAACGACCTCTATCTCTTATTGAATCTATCAATATAGCTGTTGTAAAGCTTTTAGTCAGTCGTAATTTATTTGATATTTCCTCAGACTTTTCCAATGCTTTCTGTATGTATCTATTTTATCAACTCCACAATGGGAAGAGTAATGTGACTCTCTACCCCAAGTTCATTGAAAGAGTTTTCTTTTTTATGCAAATGGAAAAAAAGTATTTTTGTTGATTTAAATTTCTGCTTTTAATGTATTTTCACCCAGGTTCATCACAATTACCTTTATTGACTATTTGCATGTCTTTTACAGAAAAACTTCGTGAAGTTTGTAGTAAAATATGATCAAGCTTTAAGGTTATATAAATAATGGTCAATTTTTAGAAAGTTGAAAAAACTGTAAAACTTTTTAGGTTTGGCAAAACTAAGCGGCTTTTAAAGACATGAAATTTTATTGTACCTCAGAACAATTTGAACAACTGAGATCAAATAGTTAAGAACTCAGAGCAATTGACCACTTCAGCATCAAAAAATAGATTTGGCAGATATATTCATAACAAATAGCAAAACAAAAGCAAAGGATGCTTCAGAAAATCTACTTATGCTAATCTTTCGAGTCACAACACATTGAAAACAAGAAATGGTGACCTTACAAAAAAAAAAATTAGAATATTCAAGCCCAAGCAAACTCCATTCTTCATGGAAAATCTCCCTCAGCCTACTAGTTAATGAGCAGAATGTCATACCTCAGATGATTGTTTCATTCGCTCCAAACAAAAGAATTACACTTCTAAAATCATGGAAAACAATCCAATGATTGCCAAAGGTGACCCATTTTGCATCAAAGAAGCAATTTGCGTTAAAATTGTATAGGAACGGATACCGAACCACTCGTTTCACCATATCACCATTTCATATGTTCAATGCGCGTTAGCATATAGTAATGGAAAAAGGGCCAATGAAAAGTACCGACAAAGATAAATTCAAATTCAGCACTTCGAAAAAACTCACTAACAAAACCCTAGCTCCAACGCAAATACCACACCAACTCATGATAACCTCAAAAACAAACCAGCATAGCATCAAATGGATCAAACAAGATCATTCGACAAAAAACAAAAGCTCGGATCCGCAGATGTTAAGTTGGAAGAGAAGAAAAAGCAAAACACCTTCAAGAGCTTGATCAACGCATCTTTCGAAGCTGGTTGACCCTGTAGTTTGGACCCTACTTCTCTCAACTGCTGTTGCAGCTTTTGCGCCATGTCCAACTCCCCAATCGAGAACCAAAGGAGAAAAAGAGTGCCGAAGAAGAGAAACAGAGGCTTTCCTTATTTCCGTTTTTCTTCCTACTCGGTTACTAGGGCGGAAATGGAACGAGTGAAGACCTTGAGCTTTCATCCGACGTTTGCGCCTATTAGATCGGGAGAGGAGGCCCGTGCCTTTTTTAGATTTGACGAAGCCTTCGTTGCAGTTTGATAAGAAGAATAGCCTTGATTTTGGAAGTAATTACGGGTTAGCCTTCCCGGTTTTAACTGGCTGTCTACGATGCCCATGGTTATCTAGTGGTGGTTAATTGCAGATTGACGGCTAGTTTTAAAATTTCTTAGCCTTGGAAAGCAATTTTTCCTCTCAAACGAACCAACAAGCATAACAAACAAACTACAATCTATGAGAAACCTCAAATTCTTAAAGTTCATAAATCACAATTTCAATCAACCAATTATTGATCTAATGAGAAACGATCACCTAACTGAAAATCTCTCCACGAAAATAATAATAATAAATTCAACTACTAAAACATGATCAAAACCAACCAACATAATAAACTACCATCAATGAATGAGCTCAAAGGACCACTCACCACTAATAGAAAGGAAAATGAATTTTCTGACATAGTTGAAAAAGTAGCATTTCCAACAAGTAAATTATTTCAACAGCATTAATCATTCAACAGTATTCACCGTCAATAGAGAAGAGGATGAAGGAAGATAAGCTTAGAAACCCACTTGTAAAAATCGTGATAATTTCATCCAAAAGATAGAAAAATGGAATTTCTAGTATGTTTGAATCATCATGCATCTATTTATTATGGCTCAATAAAGTGGAGTATATGAAAAAAAAAAAGGCTTCAGCTAGAACGAGTTAGTAATTGAGAATAAACTTCTCAGAAAAAAAAGGCATCAAAGAAGAAAGAAGATGAAGAGTAACCCAACCAGCAAATGATACTAAATCCAACCATTAATTAATATCAATTCCAATAGCCAATAAAAAAGGAAATAAAGAAAGTTAAAAGAAATACCAATAAACTTTTAAATCATTAGAACTCACAACTGATGCTAAAATTCTCTTTCTTAAAATTTCTTCTCCTACTTTTATAATTAGTCATTCTATGGATGCTTTGACTTAAAATCTCAAAAGAAGTATAGAACTTATTTAAGAACCTACAATTCCTCTCAAGCCAAAAATAATGAGTTATAGCTTGGACTGCTGCCAAATAAAATATTTTAAAGATCTTATAAGATTAAATGAAACAACACTTGATAAAAGTTGCTAAGTCAACATAAAGAATTTGTCATTTCGAATGCATTTCTTAGTTAGATTTTAAGACAATGGGCATTCAAAGAAGAGGTAGCAATGAGAATCTATTCATTAAAGACAAACTAAGAACACATTTTTTATCAACCATAATCTCTCTAAAGAATAAAATATCATATGTTATCTAGCCTTTATGAAAATCATTTTGGGATTGGCTAATTAAATATAAAAGTCTTTAATCCAAACAAATTGGCTCCAATCACAATTATCATAATTGATATACAATATATCTTAAGTGGCTTTATAAGATAGTTGTTAAGACCCATCCAATAGTGAGAAAAATAACAATTAATAATAAGAGTATCAAGAATTAACTAAATGTTATAACTAGCCACTAAAGATGATTATCAAAATATCATTTGCCATAAGACACAAGCTTACAAAGCTTTTTCTGCTTAGGGAAGCCAAAGTAGCTAATGACAATTTCTCATCTTTTTTTGAAAAGAGAAATGATACTTAACCAAGGGTTAAAATAGAAAAATAACTTACTATTCTAAGTCACTTGAAAAGATAATCAACTTCTCATTCTAAAAACAACTTTAATAAAGTTTATCAAAAAAAACGAAATATCAAAATTAAGTTTTGCATTAAATAGATCCAAAATGTTAATCACACTAATTAACTAAATGAGTCTATATTATAATGTCTCTAGATATGCATAGATTTACATAAGACATTAATGGTATCTAAAGAAGAGATGTCAAGACCACCTTGATATTTAAGTAGGGTAAGTATTTCATGCAATGTACGTAATTTCCTCTCCAATCAGTTGTGTTGTAAGAAATTATTAGTCTTAGAAGAAATATTCTTCCTAAGACCCTTAGAAAGAGTATTTGAATGGCACAAATGGTAGAGATAACTTCAAATAGCATCTTTAACTAACTAAAATTTGCCAGCAAAAAATAAAACCTTCATTTTTCAGCTAGCAAGCCAAGAATCAAGCTACCCAATAAGCTTCTAACAGTCAGTCATAAGAATTTTAGAAGTTTTAATAGTTACATCCAAGTAATCTTATGGTAGATGTTTAAAATAAAACCACAAACATGACATAAATGATTTTGTAGAGAAGATTGTATAGATTTTGATAAACATGTAAATGATTTGGAGACATTAACTTCAAGATTAAAGGTGAGGATGAAAGAAATAAGAATTTCTTCAAGGCATTATAAATAACCAATATTATCTTCACAAATATCAAAAGATCACCATCATAGATGAGGTAAAATTAATCACTACTCGCAAACAATCTATCATGACCAGCCTCATGAGATAAGAGAATAGAAGAAAGAACATCCAAGACAATAACAAGAAAAATGGTTTAAAGGACGTCCCTGCCACAAATAAAAAGAAGTAAAATATGATTTAATCTCAACTATTAATGAAAACTGAATAGTTAACCTGAGTAGTGTACTAAATTTAATTAAAAAATAAATGAGAGAAGCATAAATCGAGTCATTCTATCATATAAAAAGAGCATATTCACATTGTCAAGGGTTTTTTTAAGATACATTTTAGAACAATTTTTATTATTATAACTTCAAGTATTGAAAGCATAAAGCAGATCATTATCTAAAATAATATTTTCAACTATATCTATATTTCTAAGAAGCGGCTTGTGATGGATTAATGATATTAGGAAGATTAGATTTGAGATGACCAACTAATAATTTTGAAATGACCTTGTAAAAGGCATTACATAGAGAAATTGGTTTACAGTCTTCAAGAGACTTGTCACCAAGTTTCTTAGGAAGCATAGTGATGATTGGATGTTTAAGTCTTGTAGGAAGTTTACTTTTTTCTTAATAAAATACTGATGTGCCTCAAAACAAGTCTACAAGTCTTCTCTAAATCAATTATGATCAGGAGATTTGTGTGACACAATAAAGAAGAAAACATGCTTAATATTAGATTCAAAGAGAAATGAAGGTATTGCTATAAAAATTAGAAACATACTTATTAATGGAAAAATGAGCAGCACTATCATTCTAATTTTGAACATGGGAGTTAAGTAGATTAGAATAATAGGCAATGAATTCTTCAACAGTGATATCCTATTGATGAATTTATATATCATTAACAAAAAAAACATTTATAAAGCTATAATTAATCCTGATTTTTGTCTTTAACAAAAGAATTTAAAATCAACTCCCTCTTTTTGAAGCCAAGAGCATTTAGCTCTTTATTTGTCCACTTGTATTCACCAAGAATGACTTTGAGAAAGTCTTTTTTGTAAGGAAAAATCATGAATCAATAACTCCTCGCAGGAAAAGTTTCAACCTGATTAAGAATAGAAATCTATTGAGCTTAAGCTCAAACATGAACTTTATTAAACAACTAGAAGAATTCTAATTCCAACCCGTAAGAGCAGCCTTTACATTTTTATGCCTATTGCAAAGAGCAAAAAATTGATCCCCTTTAACTTGTATGCCCCAGGCATCAGAGACAATATACAAAAATATGAGTAAAGGCTGCATAATTTTTTATAAAGAAATTTGCATCTAGGCTTAAAGGAAGTACACAAACAAACATAGATTGGAGCAGGTTTAAGATAATAAAAGTCCAACACCTTGAAGAAAGAATGAGGAAAAACATCCAACTAAAATGAATTACATAAAGATTTTTCTAGATAAACATTTGATGGGATATTTAGGTTGGTTATTAAGCCAATTAAAAGATAAACTAGTATTCTAAAGTTCAATAAAGCCAGAAGCCAATATGAAGTTATTAAAATCCAAGAGCTAACTTTGAATAAGGATAAAACCCATAATATTCTATTCCAAATGAAGGATACAATTAAAATCTACCAAAAGGATCCATGGACCCTGAATAGTAACAAACAAAGAAGAAATATAATTCCATAAAGTCTTCCTCAACTGAGAATTGATATCAACATAACAAATAGTAATGTAGAAAAAAAAAAGAGGAGAAATAAGAAGAAAAATCTATTGAGCATTAAATTCTAGAGTAGCTTAAGGAAGAATCAAAGAATTTCATTTCACCCAAATTCAATCATTATTAGTCATATTAAAATTATTAATATTGTCATAAATATGAAAAGTCTTTAATTGATTTAAAGAAAATTTATTGAAAGAGAAAGAATCAGAAAGCTTCGTCTCTATCAAACATAAAAAGTCAAACTTACTGTCTTTAAAAGTTTTTTATAAATAGCAATCTCGATCTCATTGTTGAGCCCTCTAACATTCCAGAAAAGAATTTTAGAAAATTATATCAAGAAATTATATATGTGAGTGATCTCACATAATTTTTTTAAGGCTAGAAACAAATGAATAATTAATAAATTTTAATTTCTCATGTAAATTGGTAATTAGTTACAGAAATAAATATAATAAATAAATAAATATGTGAAAAATACCAAGTCAAATGAAATTTGGAAGGAAATCTTAAAAATAAAAAGATCATCTAGTAAAACAGTGGTTTCACCCATTTGAATTCATGATATCCTTTGGGATGTATAAGGTTATAAGTGTAAAATCGATATTTGAACTTTTAATATTTTGTTTCTAAATCTCAATTAAAACAGAGAATTACACGATCAAAATTTAATGTCATGTTTGATTAACATTTGAAATGAAATGATTAAGTTGAATTTTGATTTGAAAAGCAAATTTATGAAGAAAGGTAAATTTGTAAATATTTGAAATATCGAGAATTTATCTTTTACAATTCTTGGAAAATCCTAATTAATGTCAATTGTTATATACTCATTCAAAGCATTATTTAGTACATTTGTTGATAATATAATATAATTGGCAAATTAATTTTTTCAAACTTTAAGACAATTGGGGAAAAAATGAAAATTTATAAAGATGGCCTA